TGAGCATCCCTGAAAAGGTGATGTTGAAGTTTAGTTTTTGACCAACAGGTTATGTCAATACTTGCATTAAGCAATTGTAGCTCAACTCATATATTAGTAGAAGTCTTGAAAACAAGACTGACATCAAGAAACAATCCAAGGGTTGAGTTTTCAGAAACACCTAAATATTTACAATTCTGTGTACCTAGTCATTACTATGTGGGGCATTCAAGTCAAACCGTGACTTTTCATTTTACAGGTACAAGAGTGGTGTTAGCGTGGTGGTACTACACGCAGTAGTAAGTGACAAGTGTGTCCTATTACTGATAGGCGGCACACAAGTTGTGAGCTAGTCCAGAGACCATTAATAAAAATTGTAAACAACGGTGTGTAAGAGCGCGCATGGAACAGTATGTGGTGATGAAGTTACTTGTGAACTTTGGTGTAAAGCCCGCGGATATCTACAGAAGACTTCAAGCGCAGTTTGGTGATGAGCCGCAGTAAGACATTTTAAAGGTGTAAACATTCCAAAGATGGGCATGAGTCTGCCAGTGCCGATTTGGTTCCTAGCTTACAGAAGTGATTCCTGTGAACATTCAGTGCGTGGAAAGCCTGATCCTGGATATTTGATGCATATCCTGTCTTGAAATTGCACAAGAGATGAATCTTTCCATGGGAACGATGAACACAGTCATTGACGAAGTGAATCAGGCTATCCCAGGATGGTTCAGGCATACTCTCAAATCTTTCTATGCCGAAGCTTTCCAGGCATTAGTCAAATGCTGGAATAAGTGTATAAATGTAGCAGGAGAGTATAAAATAAATGCAGTTTCCACTACTTAAAATTTGTTTTCTTTATTATATAAACCTGGTCCTGGTTTGACTTGAACGCCTCTTGTATAAATGTATAATGGACAGTAAAGGTTGACTCTTTCAAAAATAAATCTAGTTTTCTGTGAGGGTTGGTAAATTGTATAGCTTCTTATATCTCTAGGACAAGTTTTCCTCAGATGGGGTTCCTCCAGGGTTCCTGGGTTCCTTGAACAATGAGCAATTTTTGCCTTTCAGATAAGTTTCCACTGACACCATTGATATTTTTGCTATCTGTAAGGTGGCAATTCTTCCCAATGACCACAAGTGTAAGGAGCAGTCGTACTACTGACCATCACACTAATGTATCCTGATGTGTAGATATAGTTATTATTAGCTGGGGTTCCCTGGGAAAAGTTTGAGAAATGCTGCTCTAGGGCAGGGGTCTCCAAACTTCCCAAGAAAAGGGCCAGTTTACTGTCCTTCAGACTTTAGGGGGGCCGGATTGTGGCCATCGGGGGTAGAAAAAGTCTCAGGCCCAACATTAGTGAGAGTAAACAAGGTCTCAGGTGTGGTGTTCAGTTGCATAGTGCCCGTGGTCAGTAGGAGGAGGCGTAGTGCCCCATCATTGCTATCACTGGAAGGAATTTTGGCCCATCTTTGAGGTTAGTGGATGGAATAGTGCCCTATCATTGATATTAGAGGGAAGAATAGTGTCTCATTGCTGGTGTCAGTTGGGGAAATTGTGACCCACTTTTGGTGTCAGTGTAAGGAATAGTGCCCCAAGGGCCTAATAAAGGCTAGCAAAGGGCCTCACCTGGCCCTCAGGCCACAGTTTGGAGACCACTGTTCTAGGGCAACCTGGTTCAGAGTTACTCTAAAATAGACTTGCCATAATAAGAAATAATTTAGACAATAATTGCTACATAATAACAGCATAATTGTGATCTTGTGGCTGAATTGCAATGAAGTTTCTCTAGTAGAGTTTGGATAGTTAAAAAAGATGATTCATCATTTTCCATTCAAAACTGAAATAATTGTTTAAGCGCTAGTATTTAAAATGGCATGCTGATTGCCCATTAAATACATATCAGGGCTCTAAGTACTGGAAGTCAAGTGCATATTCACTTTATTTCAAGTGTAAGGTCTTCAGTATTTGTTTCAGATTCATAGCTTTTGGAATAGCATCTGAATACTCACGTACAACAAAACTAGTAAACTATTGATTGACTGAAACAGATGTCAACTCTTTAGGAAATACAGATGAAAATAATTCTGAAACTTATATTTTCTTAGATTGTAGTTTTGTGTGTATCAGGTGACTTTAGTTTTCACATAGTAATGATGCCTGTCATTGTAATTTTAGGGGGTACGTGTAAGTAAGTGACTGGAATTCCCTCCAGGTAAAATTCTGCTTTGGAAGAAATTCCAGAAACGCAATACTGCAGTACTGGCTGTGGATAATAGGTGGCGATACAGAGTCAAGTCCTTATTGATATCTGTGGAGTGTTGCGAGTTAACGAGTTATTAAGTCAGTATTAAGTTAGTAATAACAGCTATAAAAACAATATGTGCAATCTAGATGTATATAAAATAATGTGTGGGTTTTGGCTTAGATATTCCATAAAAAGGCTTTTTTACTTTTAATTACAATTATGCAACATAATTACAACTGTGTTTCAAATATGAATCACATATCTTGACTTTGGCAGGTGTGTTCTACAAGTCATATAATGTCTATTAAATGTACAATGCATGCTTTTTTATTTAGTGAGTCTTCAAGTTAAGCAAGTATACAAAGTAGATACTGTATACTGCATTCTCAGGCTAGGAATCATTAAACATTCTGATATTGGGCAGAGTGGAAATTACAATAATGTTTCAGCTCATTTTGGTTTTACTCTGTAACCTTGCTATAGGTAAGGCTTACCCGATCCGACAGACGAAAGGGGAATTGGATCTCCATCCATCCCTTTTTGGGATGGATGGACATGTCCGTTTACAGCCTCCGCTCCATAGAAGAGAATGGAGGTTCCGATCGGGTCCACCTAAAAAACGGGAATCAGAACGTCCGTGTGAAAGAGCCCTGACTCAGCTGGCAGCATTAGATCTCTGTTGAAAGACCACAGAGAGCATTGATCCGTCTTTACAGTCTGCTGGCAGGGGATATGCTTTTCTACTCAAGCTGGGACTATCTTTAAAAAACTGTAAGACATTGCCCATCTTTTCTGTTCTGAGCTATGACTAAGCACTAGTGGAGCGTAAAACACGTTAGTAAGAGTCCTGTATCCCTGTCATATTTGGGGAATATGCTATAAGAAGAAGTAAAGGTGATTTTACCGGATGTGTGGCCATCAGCTGTTTGTTTGTATATTGCCCATCTTTTGTTTTGATGCACTTGGAAAGTATTTCACTCATTTAAACTGAACATTTAGGCCCCATGTACACGGGACATTTCTGAACGATGGAAACTGACTGCTGGAAAACATAGATAAAAAAAAGTCTGTTTAGCCGCGTTTGCATAACGTATTTATGCGCATTTATGTGCATTTGCGTTTATCTGCGTTTTTTAAAGGTAAGCACAGGAGAACCTCCCAAATGCCCAGAATGCACTGAAAAGTGGTAAATTATTAACTATTTCATACTGTTTCAGAGAAATACACAGAGTAGAAGCAGAGACAGCAGTATGTGTTGAGAGTAGCTTAGGTGTGAGTTGCTCATTAACAATTCTTTTGTTTCCAAGGGTGGGAAAGGTGTCTGGTGGAGAGAGGCATTAAGGTCACTTGGCAGGGGGTCTTCATGAGGTATATGAGGTGTGAATGGTCATTAACATATCTTTTGTTTCCAAGGGTGGGAGAGGCCTGAGGTGTGAATTGGTCATTCCAATGTGTAACAAGCTTGGTAGGAACATCCTGTGTTCAGTGAGTTGTCCATCTGAGTACCCGGAAAACATTTTGCATGCATTTTTCATGATGAAAAAAGGCTCTGGACAGCATCAGGAACTGGAAGAGTTAAAAAAAAAGTCAAAGTCAAACGCTTATAAACGCGTTTACAAGCGTTTTGAGTTTGAAACGCTAATAAAATAGACTGCTGAACGCAAGTTTTCTGCAATGAAAAAAATGACTGTAAACTCAAATGCCTGTAAACGACTGTAAATGAAGATGTGTACATGGACACATAGGAAAACATTAGGGAGAGTTCAGGGACTGCTGAAAAAAATGCAGAAAAGCTCCTAAACGTGAGTTTATCAGATGCAGTGTACATGAGCCCTTAGTTAGACTTTAATGATATTTCAATCCAGCCCAGTATCTATTCCCCTTAATTAGCTTACAGTGTCTTTATTGGGAATTCATTATGGAGGATATAGGAAAAGGCTAAGTGTTCTGTCTGGGTTCTTTTTTTGGGCACAGTGATGTCACACAGGCCTGGCATGCCAGGAGGAATGCAATGCTTGCCAAGAAGCCAGTGCATCATGTTTACAAGCCGACAATTAAACAGCATTTAAATATACTTTACAGTCTCAGGTTTCTTGGCATATGAAAGCACTAATGTCCCTGATGAAGTCCCTGAAATCAACCTCAGGCCTTAGATCATTTGGCTTTTAAGATATATTGACTGAGCTAAAATAGATTTGTGAAGTTCGGTCAGAGGATCAAGATTATTGGAAATGTTGCAACCATTCAGGCCAGTGCCCTCTGGGGACCTGCTATCTATCTCCTCCCTAATGGCGTTTCTGTGAAAACCCCATCTCAGGTTTTATATACTACATTGAATAAAAATCAGAAACGTTTCCTTGCCAGCATTCTCAAGGCTTGGAAAAATACTGTCATTTGTTTAAAGAACGTATCCAGTTTATATTAGGAATACAGCGCATTCAAATAACACATCTGTACTCAATATATGTAGTATTTTTTAATTTGTTAGCTAATGTGATATATTAACTGTTTCCACACCGCTCTATAGCAGATATACTGTTACAGGGCGGCAGGGATGCGCAAAATCACGTATATATGTGTAGGGGTCGCATGAGACGCGCACGCGTTCTACCCACGCCGCTATTCGCAACCTCAGCTTTCAATCACTGGGTCCTGGCCTGTGATTACTCGCTGGCACCGTTGATCGCAGAGGATTACCAATGAAGGGAGAGAACTGTATGTAAACAATACAGTTTCTCTCCCCTGTCAGCTCCTCCACACTGCTTTGTATGGCTTTGCATAGGAGAGCCATAGAAAGCAGTGTGCTTACAGCTGAAAGCACTAACACAGCCCACAGTAAAACAGCACACAGTTAACCCTTTGATCGCCCCACATGTTAACCCCTTCCTGCCCAGCGCCATTAGTACAGTGTCAGTGCTTTTTATTAGCCCCTTTGATTGCCCCAAATGTTAACCCCTTCTTGCCCAGTGCAATTAGTAGAGTGTCAGGGCTTTTTATTAGCCCCTTTGATTGCCCCACACGTTAACCCCTTCCTGCCCAGCGCCATTAGTACAGTGTCAGTGCTTTTTATTAGCCCCTTTGATTGCCCCACACGTTAACCCCTTCCTGCCCAGTGCAATTAGTAGAGTGTCAGTGCTTTTTATTTGCCCCTTTGATCGCCCAACATGTTAACCTCTTCCTGCCCAGTGCCACTAGTACAGTGTCAGTGCTTTTTATTAGCACTGATCACTGTATTGGTGTCACTGGGGATGTCAATGACACCAAGTCGGTTCCCCACAGTGTCAGAATGCCCCCTGCAGACCCGCAGTCCCGCTATAAGTCACTGATCGCCGTCATTACTAGTAAAAAAAAAGTTCACACTACATGTTTCAGTAGCTTTTTTCTGCATCCAAAACGCACAGAAAGTAGGTTATATGGTTGTCGATGTCATAGTTCACATCAGTACTTGCAGTTCCAGTGCGTTTCGGATGCAGAAAAAAAGTAGAACATGCTGCATTTTTTCTGTACAGAACTGTACTGGAACACAGTAAAACGCACTGGAACGCACATGTCACTATTTAAATTGAAGAATAAGAGAGGGGGAAAAAATTAACTGGAATGCATAAAAACGCACTGGAACGCATCAAAAACACTGGAACGCGTCAAAAATATGCATGCAGAAACACATCCAGAACGCATCTGGACTGCGTTTCTATAGTGTGAACCAGCCCATAAGCCAAGATTTCAAAGTTGAATGTGGTTGTATGTAAAAGCCAATGGAAGTTCAAAATTAGAGTTCAAAATATTCTCCAGTATAATAAAAGGCTTGAGGCTTCATTCACACTAGCGGGGGTTTTTTAAGCTCAAAAACCGCATTTAAAAACCGCTAGTAATAGTGTTTAGAAGCTTTAAGAGTGGTAGCATTTTATTTGATTTTTACTGCACATGAAGAAAAAAAAAGCTAGAAAAAAAGCTGCTAGGAATGTTTTGGAAGCGTTTAGCGTTTTTTTTTTTCTGCCAGAAAAAGCCTCCCAAAAACTCTCTAAAAACTATATTTTTTCTGCTGCTAAACGTTGAAGCATGAAAAACTCTACTAGCCTAAAATAGTGTGCATGGATACATAGGTTAACATTATTTAGCTTCTAGGAGCTTCAAAATCGATAGTGTGCATGGAGTCATCATATTTAGCAAGCTTGTTGTTGGAAATTCATACAATTTGTTTTTTTTTGTTTTTTTTTTTTTAGAAAAGTTGGAAACCAGTAGGGGCCAGCAATCATATATTTAGCACAAATTTTATTGAAACATGGTTTCTGTTTGGCTGATATGATATGGGTTTGTAGAGATACTAATCACTGTAGGCGAAGAATAACTAAGTGGTTGAAATCTTACACATGTCAGAAAGGCACTTTCTGTAGGTGGACAGTGTTTAAATGGCACTACCAAGCAGTAACCTTTGACCTGACAATAACCTAAGTCCTAGTTCAAGTTGTAAATCTTCTCCAAGTGCTAAAGTTCACTTATGTACCCCCAGGTGGAATTTTCAATAAATGTAAAAGGAGATCTGCCAGCAACTTCTATCAGTCTGGGCTACTTGTAACATGGGCTCCTCAGCCGTTTGGAATCCATCCTACACTTTAATAAACCACTTGCCCTCCAGAGGATTTACCCCCCTTTCCGACCAGGCCATTTTTGCGATACGGCGCTGTGTTACTTTAAGTGACAATTGCGCGGTCATGCAATGCTGCACCCAAATGAAATTTATGTCCTTTTTTTCCCCACAAATAGAGCTTTCTTTCAGTGGTGTCTGATTGCCTGTGCGTTTTTTATTTTTTTGTGCTATAACCATAAAAAGACTGACACTTTTGGAAAACCCCCCAATAATTTTGACTTTTTGCTATTAAACATATTCAATAAGAAAATTTAAAAAATCAAATTTCTTCAAAAATTTAGGCCAAAATGTATTCTGCTACATGTCATTGCTAAAAAAAAAATCCTAATACGTGTAAATTAATTGGTTTACGTGAAAATTATAGTGTCTACAAATGATGGTATATATACTGAAATTTACATTTTTTTTATACTAGTAATGGCGGCGATCAGCGACTTATAGTGGGACTGCGGCGGGCATTCTGACAGTGGGGAGGGGGGGGACTAACTGCCACTGACATCCGAATGACACTAATACAGTGATTAGTACTAACAAAAAGCACTGACACTGTACTAATGGCACTGGGCAGGAAGGGGCTAACATATGGGGCAATCAAAGGGTTAACTGTGTGCTGTGCTGTATTTTACCTTGGAGATATGCTGTTTTGTATTTCTCTGCTGTGCAGAGAAATACAAAGCAGCATGTCCTTGCTGGCAGGAGAGAGACCTGTGTTGTTTGTTGCCCTGTCAGCTTTACAGGGCAATTGGCTAGTGCCAGAAGGGAATCTCTGGCCGGGACCCCAGTGATTTGCATCTCCAGGTAGGGAGCGTGCGTGCATGCCGCTCTACCCGCACTGCCACTGGCGGCTAGAAATGTCAATTGCCGGGTCCTGGCCAGAGATTCCCTGCCGGCACCCGGTGATTGACATGTCTAGCCGCCAGTGCGGGTAGGGTGGCATGTACCTGGAAATGCAAATCACGTATATATAGAGGATTTTGTGCAGCCCTGCTGCCCTGTAGCAGTATTTCTGCTATAGTGCAGCGGGCAACTGGTTAATGGGATTCCCATAATGGCCCCAAAAGCAGGACAGATAAAAGGTACAGAAGAGTAATGCTAAAACAGTCCTTGACAACTAAACAGCTTTATTCTTAAGGTCAGAGTCAAGTGCTAGAAATAGCATGGTAGGCCAAGGTCAAAGGAACACATGTGAAACCGTGATCAAAGAAAGGTGAAAATGTTGCAAACACACCGGTCGTGCTAATTTTTTTTTTCAGCTTCAGAACAGGGTAGTCAGCCAAACAATAATTTTGGTTGGATAGAGATTTCAAGTACAAGTGCTATTTCCAAAATAAGGGCAACATCATCCTAAGGTTTTTAAATTAGGCTACTAAAAGATGAACTTTACACAGAAAAGTGGAGATATAATTTTGTGGTCTATATGGGCCGTCAGATGTTTTTTTTATACTGTGTCACTGGTCATTCCATATACCGTATGTTTGCTTAGTACCCATATGGAAGAAAAATATATTTGAAATATATTTTAAAAATACTCTTCCCAAATATATTGACATATATTTGAAATACTACAATTTTGACCATATTCAATAATTTAAAAAAAAAAAAAAAAAAAAATATATATATATATATATATATATACTGTATGTTGAAATGCGTTTTTTATATATTACAAAATATATGAAAAATATTTTTAAAAATTATATTTTTAAATATATTCTTCAGATTTTTTTCAACTTATAAAAAAGTAATTTTAACATATATTTTTACATATATATGTAAATGCATTCCAAAAAAAATGTAGAGTTGTATTTTTAAAGACATACAGTATATTTGAAAATTTATTTTTAAAAATATGTTTTATATAATTTGTTATAAAAACGCATTTCAACATACAGTGTGTGTATATATATATATATATATATATATATATATATTGAAATATATTTTAAAATATATTGAATATGGCCAAAATTGTAGTATTTCAAATTTATGTCAATATATTTGGGAAGGATATTTTAAAAATATATTTCAAATATATTTTTCTTCCATGTGGGTACTTAGTCTGAAGATGCTGTTGTGATTGGAGGGCACATGTTAAAGATCACTTTCATGTTTGCTGTTTGCTGAAAATGAACAGTGTGTAAGTGCACACTGCTATTGATCAGCAAGATTACTTACTGGACAGCAATATGCAGTCTCAAAATAGAACAGAAAGATTGTCTCACATGGAAGATTATAGTCTGGCATTGATTTTTTGTGTATGCTCAGAGACAAGATATGTTGATAAAATGGGTTCCAAAACTGCAATATCAGCAATTTCTAAGAATAATAATAATATCATAATTTCATATCCTAGTAATGTTGCACAAAAAAGCTGATAAGCCCTGTAAAGATTTCTGCTTTAATGCCCCCTAAGCTGCAGTGTGGTCTTTAACAGTATATAACATTTTTATTCTCATCAGACAAATAGTTTTAGGGCACATGCCCACTGCAGCTCAAAGAAGCTTTTTTGAGCTTTCATTTTTCTCTGCCTGGAAACTTCTCTCCAGGTTAGCCAATGTGTCCATGCACACTATAGGGATTTTCAGGATTTTACAGGTATATGAGTTTATGGGTAAGAAAAAAGAGCTATCGAGCAGAAAAGATGCATAAGCACAAAAAAAAGTGCATAAGCACGAAAAAATACGCAAATGCTCAGAAAAGCTTTTTTCATTCATTTCATTCAGCTTCCTTTTTTTCATACACAGTGGTTAACAAAATACCATCTATTCATTGGCCCTGGGAGGTACATGAAGAGGCCCTGCCTCCTATTGTTCTTCTACTTGAGCCCTTACAGTCAAGGTCTGGGGTGGAAAAGGATGGAAAAGTAGCCCTTAAAGTAATCTGAAAATGTGGATAATTGGTATTCCAACTTTAAGCGATGAGAATAAAATGATATACCGATTTTTGTTACTGATGGAATTTGTTCTTCAAAAGGTCTTTAGGATCGTTGCAAGGACTGTAGTGATCCAGAAAACTGGAAAATGTCCCAAAAGCGCCTCTAGGTCCTGATTGTTCCCCAATCTAAAGCTACAGAAAAATTGTCTTTAAATGAAGGACATACAGAGGGATATGTACTAAAACTGGTACATATGGAACCTGGTTCAGCCTTTCATAGTAACCAATCAGCGTCCAGGTTTTATTGTCAAAGCTTAAAGTGTTACTAAACCCACAACAGTAAAATCAGTCTGTATATGTAGTAAAGCATGCTTGTTATACTCACTGTGGAACCTACGGGGTTAATCCTCTACATTGTGTAAAAAGGCCATTTGATCCTTTCTTCTCTCCCTCTCCTCTTGTGATGCAGCCTTTCGTAGTAACCAATCAGCTTCCAGGTTTTATTGTCAAAGCTTAAAGTGTTACTAAACCCATAACAGTAAAATCAGTCTGTATATGTAGTAAAGCATGATTGTTATACTCACTATGGAACCTAAGGGGTTAATCTTCCACATTGTGTAAAAAGGCCATTTGATCATTTCTTCTCTGCCCCTCCTCTTGTTCAAATGTCCATGTCTTATCTCCTGATAAGTCAGACTGAACCTTAGCCATTCTGCACATGCTCAGTTTGGTGCGTATTGCTAGAATTTTTTTTTTTTCTTGGGAGAGTGCATGTGATCTGCACAGGGCCAACCAGCACTGTCCAAACAGAGGTCAGGGGTTTTGCATTCTCCTAGAGCGAATGA